TTTTTTGGTGTGTAACCTGTCCTTTAAAATAAAGTGAACAGAATAAGATTGTGGAAACTGAAAAAAATAAAAATAAAATAAAATGGGCAATAGTGTGCTTAGAAGGGAAATACCTCCAACCTGGACAAACATTTGCCCACACAGCATGCATGAATGTAATGTCTTTGATATGCTGCTTAGAGATGGTGGTGAGTCTCACAGCGGAGTCAGTGAGAACCCAGTGAGAATCGAGAAGATAATTGACAAAGAATCTAATCCATAAGTGATATCAATAATTGATTTGTAATGACTAAATTCTCATCAATTCCCACTGCTAGCTACTGTAGACAAAGGACACCTTGTCTATAACAATGTAACACATGGAGTATATGACACACCTGGATGAAAACATACATATTTAACTTAAGAGGTCTTAAGCAAACCTGGGCTCCATCACTGTCAAGCAAAAGCAGAATGATTACTCAGCATTTTAGTCAGTTATTCAAGTCAAAGCACAAAAGAATTGCCTTAAATAGCTTCCATCATGTGTCCAGATGTGACGGCCATATCCAACATCAGGAAATGAATGATAGCTTGGATTTTGAATAAGGCCACCTGCTGGAAACAGAAAAAAAGTCTCTCAAAGTCCCACCCTTTTTCTTTTTGGAGTCCAGAGTCCTGGCACAGCAAAGAGCACCTCTGATTATACTATTATTAGGTCAACCATGTGCACTAAAAAATTAACTGTGAATTATGCAGACCTTTTTTGTGATGTAGTACATACACGGTTCACTTAGAAGTGTGCTGTTTGTTAGATTTGGTGCACGAAGAAGGCACAATAGGTTTTTATGTTGAATAAAGAAAAATGACGGTTTCATGCAACTCATACTTTCATGAGTCATTGGGTGGTACTGAGTCAAACTCCTTGAAAAAAATGGAAAGCACTGGAAAGCCAGTTAGGATTATACCATTTTCAGGAATAGGAAAACCAGTATGGAAACCAGGCAAACCAGTTAGTATGGAGATATTCCCCAGATTTCATTGGATTCTGACTTTAACTGTCAGGCTAACTGGCTAATGTTGGATCCTTGTTTTCTGAACTGAATTTCATATGCCTAAAATCTTACTCCCTTACTGTAGAGCCATTAATATAGCAAGAATGGCATGTATGGTGGACAATGTATACATTTTTATTAATCATAATGTACACTTTAATGAAATTTTTGCCATATAAAGTTTATTTTTCAGGCTGACATTGTATTTGCCTAATTTTGGGGGCTGTTTTGAAAGCTTTCAGTCAACCTAACAAACAAAGAAGGCATTTTAGAATTGCATTTAAGTAAAAATAAAAAAAATATAACTACTTTTCTACAAGACTTGGAAAAAAAATACCTATGCCTCTGTAATGGTTATATGGTAATGCCCAATGTGAGGAAGCTTTAAAAAGGTAAAAATCCTCAGTGGGATTCACTATGTTTGAACTTCTAACGTTACTGTTATAACTATTAATACTTTCCTCGGAAACAGTATGAGTGACGTAAGGCCAGTAGTCCTCTTCCCTTTTATTTGCTTATGCTCCATTGGAAACAAGTGTGTTGGTGAAAGCAACACATTCCCCCAAATAAGCCAATGAACAGTTTGTTCCTAATGCTAAAGCCTTCACAGGAATGGAAAGCAAGCAGTTTGAATACTTCACTTATGTGAAAGGGAGTCTCATGCTTTCATTTGTGAATAAAATAAACAGTGAATGTGTGTTTGGTGTTTTACAGGGCCTTTCATAATTTCCATATACTGTAAGAACCTACCAAAGTCACACCCAAAACATCGTCTGGTTGCCGAAGAAAATGCCCACTTGTTTGGGTTTTTGTTTGATGTGATTAAAGGTTAAGTGAGTCCCACCTCTACCTGCGGGTAGTTAATGACAGAAACAATGAGCCGCACTCTCACAAAGTCACCTTGGTGGTGTGCATGAAAGTATCGTCTTACTTCAGACAATTGTTCAAAGCTGTAAGCAGGACATTAACATCAGCCAACAATATAATTAGCTGTCCTTTTCACACTGACACTATTGAATGCTTTGATTGTGAAAGTTACTGCTCACTCACAAGGGAATATATGTAAGACATGTTTTCTGTGATGAAGGAATATTTGGATTCAACCGACCCACATCTCACTTTGATCTTAACTTATAACATACATGAATGAATTTAATAAGAACCCAGAATTTTGTCAGCAGTTTCATTCATCATTTGGTATTTGGGACAGTTGCTGCTTATCCATCTTCACTTCCTCTCTGAACATATAACAACTTGTTACTCACACAATATTATAGCAGTGGGGTTGCCTAGCAGCACCATAACAGTGCAGAGTTTGCAGGAAATATTTGGTGGTGTGAGTAATGACCTTCAGACAACAGAACATGGATGCACTGGTCCACTGTTATAAATGCTTCCATATGGTGCATTTTCAAATCCCTTTTTTGGATGGAGTTTGTGGAAGTGTGACTGCACACAGAGCTCAGTGGAATAAAAGGTTATCTTGTCTTAGAATCAACTGTTGTTGTACCTCCACTTACTAGTGTTTTTTTTCCCCACAGATATCAGGGAATTAAGTCAGATGCAGCATACTGACCTCCAGGAGCAAAGTCTGTTTTAACTCACTGACAGAAATATGCGACAGCAATCCTCCCTCCATCTGGTCTGAACATTTTAAAAGTTCAGCTAGAAGAGTGATGATGAGTCCTTTCTTTTTAACATCTACTTTAGTTCCATGCCTTATAATGCATTCCAGACTACTATCCGAATTAGAAAAACAGATTGCAGTGATTTGTGAGTAATTAATGGCTATATTTAGGTGAAAAAAGTTCAAAGACATGTTAAAATGTAATGTGAACAATGCATTTTAAGAAAACTGCAACAGGAACATGCTTCTCATTGTGTTTCAATAACCTCTCTTTTAAATACACACTTTGGTAAGTGAGAAGGCCAATGACTGGAGGAAAGCAGAATATTCTACAGTTCTTGCTTATTATGGGGTTTCAGCTCTTCACAAGTTCATTGCCTCCTTTGTCATAAATTTAGCTTAACAGCAACATTGCACAGAGTCCTAATATTCACTGTCTATTAACTCAAATTTCTACCAACAATTTGGAAATGCTAACTGCTGCAGCATAGCACAGCTTAAGAGTGGTCCACCATTTGCATCCAAATGGCTGGGCACATTTTGTATGTAACATCTGCACGTTCTAAGATTTTTTTGCATCATTTTATGATATAAATGATCCATGAAAAGATCAGGGCTTGGAATTCAAATATTTCATCCAACTCCAGCGACTCCAGGATCATGCTATCTACAGCAGTAACAAGTAATAGGTTTATTTGGTAAATGTGCTGTTAAACATGCATTTTAGCACAGAAAAGACACAAATGAGAGACATTCATGTTATTCATATGTTTTGAGCTTTATTCTCTTCTTCTTCTCCTTAAGAAAAATATCTCTCTTCAGCTGCTAAATGGCTAAATGCCCCAGTGTGTTTGCCAGCTAGTTGCTAACTGTGTCTGCTTGTCATACACAGCATTTATTTTAAGGAATTTGTTGCAAAGGTTTTCTATTGTGAATTAGCAGGAACAAAGTTGACGGCTAGAAAAATATTAAGTTAGCTAAAATGCTAACATGATCATGATCAACTGAGAAATCTCTAACTAGACCTCCTGTTTACGCCTTCAGTAAAAATGTTCCGTACTTCCTCTCAAGGCTTACTAACTTGTGGCAGTTTAGTGGAAAAGTCCTGTATATGTCTCTTCGTGCTGTATATGTTAGGTACTAACATGATACAAGAAGACGCAAACCGGCTGCTTGCTCGGATTGCTGATTGAATACCAGTGTACTTTGTAGCTGGACAGGCACGGCACAATGATGTTTTCAAAGGATTTCAAAAAAATACATATGGCATGGCTCTGTATGTGCTAATTTAGCTTGCTAACTACTTGTGCCTGCACATGTTTTTGTTATAAGGTATGTTTCTATACTTTTCCACTGATTCTGGAGAAAACAGCTTCATGCATCTGCTGTAACTTGCATGCTAAAAAAAATAAAAGATGAAGGAGAGAAAAATGCAAACAGGCTACATGGACATCCTGCAGAAACAAGTAACAACATTGTTTATGTGGATGTTCATTTTTTAGCTCCTTCTCTCAGTTTTCCAGTATGAAATGCATCCTGTGACACAGTGGTTACACAAATGAACTCATCAGCAGTGTCATTATGCGTGGCTACATGGCTGATTTTATTTTGTTGCTGCAGAGCAATAAAATGTATTAGCAGGACTCAAATTTTTAGTGTGCGCCAGTACACTGTCCTGACTGTAATTTATTTTTACTGGTGAGCTAGTGAAACTTAATGCACACAGTGCATTTCATCAGCTGTCTAGACAGTAGAAAATGGCATAGCTTCTAATCAGTCATTGACAATAATAGATTGATTGGTGGAAGCTAGTTAAACTGCATTGTGCTTTTACTTGAGTCATTTGAGTCACTTGAGTCCAACATCAAAAGGAGGATGCATTGAAAATTCGAAATTTCAAAATCAAATGAACACCAAGTTAGCTGACATGGCAAAGGCTTGAAAAAAGGGGCTTTGCAGAGATAGAGGAAGAAATGACAATATGTAGGAAAAGGTAAAGAGAAAAGCCCACTCCAGATGTGTGACATCATCCTCCCCGCTGCTCCCATCCAGACCAAACAGGGCCATGTGTCTGGTTTTCATTTACTTCTTTTCTCCCCCTCTTCCCTTCTCTCCTCTCCCTCCTTTTTTCTTCTTTTTTTAGAGAAAGTGGGCGGAGGAAGAGAGATGGCAGAACTCCAGGAGTTTAGAAGTTTGTCCCATCTCAGCCTTGAACTCCGCACCACAGCTCCTCTGGTTTGAGACTGCGAGGGTGCCTGTCTCTTTCTTTCTCAACCATTTCCCCTCTTCATTCACGACCTCTCTCTGTCTCTCTCTGTGCATCTCCTATCAGTGGCCTTATCACTGCTTTGCTCAGCTACCTTCCTTCGGGGGGTGCTGGAAAAGCCAGCGAAGGGAATTTACCAGGAGGATAATGCCCAGTAGTCCAGTTCTCAGTCGTTTTACATAACTGATATCATTTTTCCTCAAAAACGAATCCAGTGGAGTACAGCTACTTCAGCTCAGGGTAAGTTTTGAATGTGCTGGTGGTGTTGTTGCAGAAAAAGTTTGCATGCTTGCTCAATTTCACTTTTACTTTAAGTTTGACCTCAGTTGCACTTTACATGATTATATATAGTGCATTGACCGTAGCATAGTTTCAAGTCAGAACATGTAAAGTCATGATGGGTGAGATAATAGGAGGTTTGTGCAAGACTTTCTGGCATCTACCTCATAAATATCAAACAGCATGCTTTTAGCACTAACACTGAAACCTATACTTTAGTGGTGAGAGTGCTGTGAGGGCAAGAGGTGAGCCGCAGTTAGGGTGAAGGAGGAGACCTCAGCAAAGTAGTGTGTGATACATGTGAGTGGAGAGAGGAGCATGTTTGCCCCTTCTGTTAAAACTTTGTCTTCTGTGTGACTTTTATAAATGTCAAATAAATACGTGGTGTAAAATCCCAGAGATGCTACATGAGGTCTTGAAAAATAAGGCATTACTTTGCACCATATGATATACAATTGTCCTTTAAGCAAGTAAAACCACAAGCACCATGCTTTGCGATTTCACTAAATAACTAATATCTAGATGTGAGGACTATTTTTTTGTCATTGAGGATAGAACAAGATAATTTGTTCCATTAGATCGAATGGGGATTCTTATGGTAACCAAATTTTAAAGTCTCCCCACCCACATGAGAGCTCTAATGAAGAATAGTCGAATGGCTAGATGTTTCCGCTGCAGCCCAATACCACACCCTCCCTGAAACCAGTGCACAAGTGGAAAAGTGTGAACTAAGTGTTCCATGCTTCTGGCCAGATGCACCAGGAGAGCCAAAAGGGGGCTGGTCTATTGGTGGGTGGATGAGAGGTGGTGCTGGTGGTGGTAGAAGGGGGAGCTGCATGGTTTAGTTGACCAGGTGTGAGTCATTAATCTTCCATTTCTCCTGTACGACTGTCCAAGCGGAGATGGAGGAGTTCAGCAGTGTTTCAGTGTATCCATGTGGGATTTGATGAATTAACTTGTCATATTCTTCCGAATCCAAACGTAATGAGAATGCACTGGAAAAATGATCATGAGTAATTCTCATGAGCTACTGTTCCACGTACTTGTGTGTTTTGCATGTAAACCCGTTGCTGTGATACAGAGAGGAAGAGCTTGGTCGCGGTTCAAATATGCTAGAGGAAACTTGGTGTGCGCTCCAGATTTGGTTTTATGTGTTTGAATTTTTTTTCGACGTGATTTACTACCGGCATTACGACAGTGCTGCAGCTCCCTTTGTAAGCTGGTATCAAAACCTTTATTGGCAGTGGTGCATCGGGACAATTGTTAACAAAAGGGATTTTTAGATATACAGAATAAATCACGATTAATGTGTTTTATAGCTGCTCTGCTCTCTCCAGCTTTTGTCTCTTTTTTTCCGTGATGCAGTGCAGATGTTTGGAAAGTTGGAAGAGTTTTCAGAATGCTCTAGTCTCAGGGATTTAGTACCCCAATCTTCTCTTTTTAAGAAGGCAACCATGAATAATTGTAAGAAATCTGAAGCATATTCTGGTTGGTGAAAGCACGTTTGAGTGGCTGCAAGCGTGCAGCTTTAAGGTTTATCAGAAGGAAATCAGGCTTTAAAACAGACCTTTTCCTTGGCTACAAGTTGATCCAGCATGTGCATCTTTCTCGTCTTTACCAATGCTACAGGAGTGTCAGGTTTAATATGTGAACAGGCTCAGATCGAGCACACATCTGCCAGGTGTCAGACGGTCTAACACACACCAGCTGTGTAGAACTGCCTGTTCAGCCAGCCTCCCCCTCCCGCCTTTTTAACTTCATCATTGATCTTCCTCTCATCTGCTCCACACATGTCACATTGCATCCTTACAGCTGAGGGGTGGGGTGCGGTTGGATGTGCAGGTCCTCACAGATGCAGGATTGACTTTTACATGCTGGAGCACAAAGTCACAAGTGATATTTGTTCACCAGCGAGTGGCGGTGTAGCACCACCTCACGATCAGAACACTTCTCATGCCTTTTGATTTCACTTATCTGATATAAAAGATACATCTTGTGCATAGAGAGCAGGCCTTAAAAATGGATTTGTGGGGATTGGCAGTGGCATTAAATGTAACAATAAAAGAAACATATAAAAGTGTAGATGCTGGTTCAGCCTTTATTACGACTCATTAAAGTTTCCTGTTAGGTGGATTTTATCCTCTATTTGCTTGTTTAAACTAACAGTTAGAATGTTCCCCCTCTTCTCCAGCAGTGCACGTGTAGATTTATAGTTAATGACTCAATTATATTAAAGTAAATTAATGGAAACCATTAGCTAGTATGATGGCGCAAATGTAACAACATCTTGTTTATACAGTGAAATGAAAGATCATATGTGGCTCCCAGTGGTTGAGGTGATGTAAGAAGACATGCTACTGCCATTGACACTGGCTCACTTTTATTTTAAAGTTAGAATAGTATTGTATTTCAAAGTAAAAGACTTAATGTCCCAAATATACCTGTAAGGGCTAAATGCCAACTGTGTTATATAAATGCAGCTCTTTCATCAACATTAATTTTAATAGTTTAATTTGAACACAGGGCCTTAAATTTGTATACTTCAGGCCAGGTTCACTGTTTAACACACGGGTTTTTAAAATCTGTAATTGTTGAGTGTTTAGTGCTTGGCTGGAGCAAAAACAAGCCATCATATGGTGAAAACCTATAGGTTAATATGATGCACATTGAGAATGTGTGTGTGGTGTATATACTTAAAGTGAGTAAAATAAAAGTGCTCATTATGTAGAAACATACAAATTACATTACAGAGTCACAGTTTTTACGATTTTAATGAAATAGTTATTAAGTTAGTTATTTAGTTACTTTGTAGTTCTAACAGGACACCATAATACATTAGATTTATCATTCTAAATTTAAAATAATAAATTTTGCAGACACATGACCACTGACCATTTACATTAACTTGTCTACCACTTAATCATTCATGTCAACACGATTGCCAGATTGTCCAGATGAAGTGAATAACGCCTCTGTAACAGAGGCCTAAATACTGGTGGAAACAGTTTGTCCCAAATGGTTGTGAGTGGTGCTTGGAGAGTGATGGCATTTGCAGGGATAATGAAAGTCTCAGTAATGTAAGTCTACACTTGTCACTAGGGAAAAAGGTGTATTCCCTAACCGATTGGCAAAAACCTGCTTGGTCACTAGCTTATTTCACAGGTGGCAGTTTGAATAGCAGTGACAAACCTGTCTACAAAAACTGCCTGGCTACTTTCCGAGCTGCTGTAAAACTGTGAAAAGTGGAACACAAAGTGAAAATGGAGAATGTTCGTCTTCAATGTTAAGAGTTGTGCCTCAGCGCTGTCAACATGTTTTAAAAGCCTCAGCTTTTACTTTTAAAGCAAACCTTTTCCATTTCCAGTACGTGTCACACTTTTTCAAGTTTTACTACTGCTGGGCTCATAGTTGGAACTACAGGCAACTGTGGCAATCTGCTAGCAACCAATAATCACACAGGAGGTTTTTGGAACAGCACCTTCTTTCCAACTGATTTGAGTGAAATCCCAGTGTCAGCCAGGCTCTTCCAGGAACCACTGCCAACCAGGGGAGTACATGTTTCCCTAGCAGCAGATGGTTGCATCACATCAACTATGGCAGACAGCTATTGAGTAATGTGTACATGACATCATGTGATGAACCTCACTATAGTACAAAGTACAAATTTACATTGAAAATATGTTGGAATGTAAGTTCAAAGCATTACTTGAGAAAATACTTGTACTTTAAAACTTTCCATAATGTACTTAAGTTACCGTACATAGTTATATTTCATTGTTGGTTTTATCCACACTCTCATCTAATGACATTGGTGGGTGGGGCACTATTATGAAGGAGTGGGTGCCACCCGATCTCCCCCCCATATATATATATATATGTGTGTGTGTGTGTGTGTGTGTACAATCGCAGGACCAGCTGCGATTGTATTTACAGAGGGTTCGCGGGCACATTGCAGCACGTATCTTCTGTAAATGCAAATCGACTGTATGCACTGTGAAGTGGAGCGTTTCTGCTAATGTAACTTAAAGCATGTGTTTTCAGTCTGACACTTCATGGTTGTGACTTGATCACAGACAAAGTGTTGATGTTGCATGTTCACTGAAGTACACATACCGAGGTACACTGGATGATGTAGGTAGTTGAATGACCTAAAATATCATAAACTTGCTAAAGTTTAAAATGTAAAAAGGCTAAACATTGGCGCCACCCAGTGGAAGCTGTGAAAAAAAGATATGTAATGGGCTACAAGCTACACAAAGATCAAAACAGCTATTGCAGTTACTGGCTCATTTCTATTCAAACACAACTTTAATGGTATTTTTAAAGATTCTCTTCACATTAAACCCACAGAGAGATACTGTTCCAGTATGTACTTAACAGTAGATTAAATGACAAAGAATAATGTGTGCTGATTGCAGTGGCTCACTGATGAGCCTTTTTGCACCTTTCCCTGTTTGTTCTTTGTGGCTTGGACGTTCCGTTAGCGTTCTGTTGTTTGCTATCAAACCCTGGACCTGATGGTAGCATGCCAGAAACAAACGGTTCAGCTTGTTTTTAGAGATGAAGTGGGGAAAAAAATTGCAGCTTTAAGTTGCTAAATTTCTTCATGAATGCTCTGTCCCCGTGCTGCCATTGTTTTGGTTGCTTCAATCAGTGAAAACAAGATTCTCCTGCCCTGCTATGTTTTCCTCTGCGGTGATGAGGGGAAGCCATAGTGTTCACACACTGGACGAGCCTGGCTCAACTCCTCAGAGCAGTGGTTTTTGTGTGACCCGAAATCACATGGGTGAACACAAACATCTGTCGCAGTGTCCAAGGCAGCTTAGATTTCCTTGAAATGAATGCTCTTACTGGTTTAAGCCCAATATGGAGAGTAACAGCATCTGGGGACTACAGGGATATTTTACACTTCCCTTATGTGGTTGATCTATACTATACTGTATATGTTTGTTTCATAATGCAAACACTAATGCTGAAAGTTTAAGGAATAACTCCAAACGTGGACTTTATGGGCACTATACACTGACCCTATAAATGTGATTGATATTATTTGTGTGACACAACTCTGCATCTGTTTTCAGTAGTTTTATTTCCTTCACCAGCATTCATCTGCAGGCCAACTTTTGAAAAGTTATGTTTTGTTTGCATTTGAAAGGTCATACTGGCTCACTTGTCTAGGATGGGAATACAAATACAGAGTTGTATGGTCATCTGCAAAACATGGCCTGCACAAACATAGTGCACAGCAAAGTATAAACACCATGACTCAGTGCCTGCAATTCTGCATAGAGTACAATGTGTTTAGAATTCATTATAGATTAAATCTACTGTAGCAGACATAGTACTTTTTTGGCTTTTCCTTCTAAGTCTAACACTAGTGCCTTGATGTAATTTCATGTTGTTTTTAAACACCTTGCCAGAAAAATTCTTCTTTTGTGTTTTCATTTTCAATATCTACTAATTTTGGACCAAATAGTTGCTGCATAATCCACTTAAACTTACTAACATGCTTTTACCTGGCATTCAATTGACCACATGACATTTTTAAGATCAGATTTAAGGGCTCGTGCATGGCATGGAAATCTAGAGGAGTGTCCATAACTTCAACAAGGCAGCTATATGCTGGCTCGCACAATAAAAATAAGCTAACAATAAAATATGGCATTAGCCAAGTTCCAGCTGACTAAAACAAACAACAACAAAAAAGAACAAGAAAAATGTAAAATACTGTAAAAAATCGCCCTGACATTGAAGGTGCTCATTCAAAATTAGATTTTTTGACTATGACCACAGGATCAAGGTCAAACAATCCCAGGAGAAATTAGATATATATTACTTTATTATAAAAGGTGCTATATCTGCATTCTCCACCAGAGGTCAATAGTCTGTTTATTTAGCTTGCGGTTTGTGCACTGGAAAATACAAACTTTGTTGACATGAAAAAGACCTCCCCTTTTTATAAACTAAAGACATCTACCATAAACCCTTTATGATCCAAAATGTGACTTTTCTCACACCTAACCACAGAGTGCTGAGCTTTTAGCGCTTTTCCTAACAGGCTCTGGGACTATTAAAAAGACAGTTCTGGGTTTGGTTTAATATCCATCATTACCTTAATGAAGAAGCATTTATTGGTCAAAGGCCATGTGTGCCATTTCATTCGTAAGTATTAACCTTTTTGCTTTTGCATTCACATCCTTGAGTTGAAATGCTTCTTGAGTGGTGAGTCATGCAGATGTTACAAGCATATGTTTATTTCTGCTCTGTCAGCTTCTTCTTAGATACGATTTTTGCACTTTGCTTTTATGCTCTTGGATCTTGAAAAGCTGTACAGACTTCTCTGTTCACGAAGGGCTTTGAATGAGTTGTGGGCTGGGATTTATGGGTTATGATGGTTATGGGAATGAATCATGTCAAAGACAAGTCCTCCACTGTGTGTGTGTGTGTGTGTTTTGCCTGTACCTGTAGATCTGTCTTTTCAGGCTCTTGATGGGTTGAGACCTTTCTTTGCGCTTAGGTCTCATAAGGTCCTAAGTGAACCATGTGTGACCTTTCTTTCATTTCCTGTGATGTTACCGCACATCATAATGAAGGAAAATCTAACTAAGTAGAAAAAAAAGCACATCCTCTGTGAAACCGGACTTTCCAGTCTAATACCGCTTTTAAGAGCACATTATTTTTGTGAGCTGGAAAACTGAGTCCCTGCCAGGCAGAGTTAATTCCTAAGGCACACTGGATGGTAGTTTTCACAGGTGGTTTTGATCATCATCCCTCTCCACTCCTGCACATGCTGTAGCTCCCTCACTTACTGTGGAAATAGGTTGTCATGAATGTACATCAGTACATGCAAAAATGTACGGACAGTGCAATGAAAATAACTCATCGCAGTGTTATTCCCTTGGAAAGATAGCTTTGGAATTGGGAAATTAATTAAAGAGGCAACATGACCACATTTTAGGCTACATTCAGCTAGTGCAATCGGTGCATCTCCCACACACAGCATTCCACACACCAAAATTGGAACACAGATATTTTGAACCAGCTATTAGTGCAATTAATTGAACACTAAAGCATATTATTTGTCAACATTCAGGTACAGTTCAGGTACATGAATTTGCTGAGTTGAAGCCTAGCTAACAGTCACTGCCTAGAGTCACCTGTGCCCACTGACCATGTGTCAAAACCTCTTTTATGGTTATGGCTAATAAACTTTATATTCATGCTTTATAGCTCATATTTCGCTAATTCTGGTTTCACAGGTGCCCTCTTAGTTTCTTCTGAAGATGAGGAGTCATCATTTGCTACCGCTATGTGCTCTTCTGGGCGTCCTGCTTGCAGGACTTCTTCCTAAACTCGATGCCCAGGAAGATGAAGGTAAGTTTAACTAATTTAATCTCATTGCAGTCAACACTCATTTTACAGATGATAGCCCCGGGTCTCAATATGCAAGTGTTTAAATATCAAATGCAAGCAAAGGGATTATAAAACTGTATTTGCATTTCTTACTTTTAAATGTATTATGCTTTCAAGACTGAATGCAAACAGTTAACCTCAAAATGGGACATAAAAATTAGAATATAAAACCTCAAGAGATACTATAGTAGAGTAAGTCTGATACATTTGACACAATAAACATACATAAACACACCGATGCTATCAAACTGAAGTACATTTATATTGTGCACTTTGTTAGCATCTTTTCACTGGTCTTTACTTTTGTCCTCCCAACACTCCCTTTGGAAGATTGTGCACAAGGTTTGGCAGCTGATATGTACTTTCTAGTGGATTCATCATGGAGTATGGGTCAAGAGAACTTTGAGCATGTCAGACACTTTCTGTACACCTTGATACAATCTCTGCACCAGGTCGGAGGAGAAAGGTTTAAATTTGCCCTTGTACAGTACAATAGCAGGCCTCACACCGAGTTCCAGCTCAACAGCTACAAAACTGCACAGGGAGTCCTGGCACACATCAAGGCTATGTCTTACCGTGGTGGGGGCACGCGGACTGGCTTGGGTTTGGATTTTCTGATACATACACATTTGACTGCTGCTTCGGGCAGCCGTGCTGCTGACGGAGTCGCCCAGGTGGTGGTGGTGCTAACAGACGGCCGCTCGCAGGATGATGTTGCCGAGCCAGCTCAAGTGCTGCGGATGGCAGGCGTGGAGATGTTTGCGGTTGGAGTTCAGGATGCAGTGGACTGGGAGCTCAGGGAGATGGCTAGCCAACCTCAAAGCACTCACGTTTTCAGTGTAGACACTTTCCCAGCCTTACAGAGTATAATTCAAGATTTAGTTGTGGGACTTTGTGATGCAGTGACCCAGTCAGGGGGGTTTCCTGTGGCAAATGAGGCCCCTGTGGCTGGAGGAGGGACAGGTAATAAAATGGGACCAGCGTCACTACCATACTAATGTCTACATGTGCAGAAAGAAGCTGCTGCACATGCGGCTGTGACTGGACCTTTTTATAATTAACATAACGATTTTTTTAACCACAGTAACCTTCCACTGTTCACCTGCAACATTAACACCACTTTTTTGGTTTGTCTTTCAACATGTAATATACCTCTAATGCTTCAAAGATCACAGTACAATTTGCATGTGTTCACTTTACTGCATTAGGTGTTGTACCTGGTACTTTTGCAAAAGGTAGGTCTCTGATGGAGGCCGAAATGGCTTCTGTCATAATTCAACACGCCATTTTCAGAAGATCAGATCTTCCCCAGTGTCCTCTTCTAAAACCTTTGGAAGATAACAAGGTCTCTGGGGCACTTTAAAAGCTTTTAAAGCCCCCAAAAATCAAACTGTGAGCTTTTAACAATAGCTAACCATGCACCACTGCTTATGTGTCCTGCACATGTGTGTTTGTCTTTTTTCAATCACAATGTCTATCTGTGTAAAATATGTGCAATATTCTGTTTTTGAAACAGTGATGAACCTGTCTGGAGACATCCTTGACCTGCAGAAGCACTTTGAGAATGTTTTTATCTTTAAATAGCCCAACCTATTTGCTGTCGAAATTTAATGACACAAGAAAGGCGAACGGTAGTGAAGAATGGTAATTTAAGATACTCAAATATCCAAAGGGTACATGTTCATTTCAAATGAAGCATTGCCATTATATGTGGTTTTGCTCTTTTTAAACAAAATCCTACGTCTCAATGACTGCAAATATGCAGGCACCAAGGATGGTTCACAGGGTCATGACTGGTCACGTCATCTGAGGTCTGTAACAAGAGTCTGCATGGAGTGGTTGAACTCAGCGGAGCTCATACAAATGGGCATATTACATTATTTTTTAAATATTAAATATCATAAAAGATTATATCTATTTATATATTTAATTATTTGTTTTCCTCTAGAATGGAAATTCTTATTATTATGCCCATCTGCAGATTTTCTTTTAGTTCTTTATGTTCCTAGATGCTCCAGATTTTAAATAGCAGATCATGTTCTGTCACAATTTATTCCCATAGAAAACTGTGAGATACATCCAACTTTAAGACCTAACATTGTCTTAAAACATATAGAAAATTTTATTTTTGTTCAGAAGAGATGTAGATAAGCAAAAGTTTAAACACTGTGACTTTTCTGTACATAAATTCTAGTGTTACTGTAATTAGAATTGAATTCAAGTAAAAAAAAAAAATCTATGGAGCAAAGTAATCGACAAATTACAGGACTTTAGGAAATCTCCTTGGTTCAGCCAACATGCAGTATGATGTTTTGCAGTGTTGTTGATTTATTCACTGAATGACACAGCTAGCACGAGTTCTTTGATTTATGTCTGTCTCAGTTTCACTTATTTAACGCTTTCACAAGTTCCATTTTGTTTTGTTTTCTCTCTCTCCCCTTAAAGCACAAGACACAGCTGACCTAGTACTGTTAATTGATGGATCACAGAACATTGGAGCAACAAACTTCCCCTATGTGCGTGAATTGGTTTTGAGAATCATTGAGCGCCTTGATGTGGGCAGGGACACTGTTCGGGTGGCCTTGGTCCTGTACAACAGCAGCCCAGAGATAAGGTTCTATCTAAATAGCTTTTACAGCAAATCATCAGTCCTGGATGCTGTGAAAGCCCTCACCTACACAGGGGGCGATGAATCTAACCTGGGGGCTGCCTTGGAGGAAGTGGCCGAGAGCCTTTTAAGTGAAACATCTGGGGGCAGGGCTGACGAGGGTGTGCCCCAGATGTTGGTGGTTATCACTGCTGGGCCATCCACTGATGATACTGGTGCTGGTGACCGAGCTCTTAAGAGGGCCAGTGTTATCACATTCGGCGTGGCGATTGGTGACACTGCCACTGCAGATCTGGAAACAATTGCTACAGATAGAAGTTTTGTCCAGTCAGCCTCTGATGTCAGAGAAGTTGCAAACATTGGTGACCAACTGCTCCCACTCATTAACGGGGTGATCCAGCGCACTATTATAGTTCAGAATGAGTTCACAGAAGGTATGTAACTTCTCAGTAAACCCTGGCGGGGCATTACGGTTGTGGAAGGGGACTTCATAATTCAATTGATATGTTATAGTGCACATGGTAGGTTAGTTTCTATATCCCTAATTTTAAGTTTATAACAGAAGTGGTAACACTTAGAAGTCTAATTACCATTTTAAAAATATTTGAAATTTGACTCCATTCCATTAACCCTCTCAAGGCAGACGTTGCCGATTTGCAACAGTTAAAAACTAATAACCTGATTACCCCACATACATATTTTATGAGTTTTTTTTACTCAGAAGTACCACTGCAGGACTTGGTTGTGAATTAGCAACAAAAAACTTAATTTGAGCCTGAGAGGGTTATCTTACATAAATGTTTGATGAAGATAAAGATGTCATTAGTACCAGACAGCCTAAAAAGAAAAAGATATTTGTATGTCGGTCTGGTGCTTGTGTTTCCATAAAAGTTGGAATATGATGTCAATAAGAAGAAATCATTATAAAAACAGCATATCAAATGTTGAAACTGAGAACATTTTTGGAATTGATTGTATATATGTTTAGCTTGTCTTGTAGGTCAGTTTTTGTGAATTCAAGATTGGTAAATAATTTTATCTGCTCAGCAGTGGCCTTTTCTGTAATTGTTTTATTTCATAATGTTCCAAATGTTTTCAATTGAGTACAGGTCTGGACTGCAGGAAGGCCAGTTTAGCATCTAAGCTCTTTTACTACAAAGCTATGTTGCTGGAAAATATGTTCTCATTAAAAAGATTCAATGTAAGAGGCAACAATGTATGGGCAAATAGTAAGATTTTAATGTGTTTAAAACTTTTCACAAGTCTTGTCAGCAGTTATTTTTCACTACAAAGGTAATCCACTGTTCCATTGTGATTTTGGGCCTCAACCTTTTTACACAAAAGTGTCTTTGGATTCTCAGAATATTTTAATATTTAATATTTAATACCTGTAGATTTTGAAATCCAAATTTTATTGTTTATTATTTCTTCAATTTTGTGTTCAGAAATTGTATTCTCAAATTGTGGAAGTGTTTATCACTGAGCAGTTAATGTCTCTAACTCTCTGGGATGCTATTTTATAATCATTTGATGTAACTTCTATTCCCAGAGTGTTTCTGGAAAAAAAAATCAAAATAACAATGTATTTTTCAATAAACAAATTTCTCAGTTTCAGTATCTGATAGGTTGTAATTATTGTAATTAAATGCAGAATTTAAGCTTTTAGCAGATAATTGAATTCCTTTTTAAATTACATTTTACAAAGAGTTACAGCTTTTTTTTTTTTTAGGTAACTAGGATGTATGTTGCTCAAAATGGGGTTTATTAGACAATATATATTTTTAACAATGGCATAAGATCATCTTAGTTAAATCAGTTAACCGAAAGAGCTTTGTGCATTTGTATTATTTATGCAGTTTAAATTGATTTTTAAAATCTGATAGTTTTAGCGTATTTAACTTATTTTTAGGAGGAGCATGCACACTAGCTGTACTTTGTAAAAATATAAAAATATATGGGTTTCAGGAAATAAAATAAATCACTTTATCACTTGATCTATAGCAGTTACAACATTTCTAACATTTTGTAAATTGTAATTGATGTCTATTAGAAGGCATCTGAATTTTTCCTATTTTTTTCCATGTCAGTAATACTTTACCCTCATGCCAAGTAATTTAATGCAAATATAAAATATACATTTATTAACAGAATATATTTTCAGAGTTTTGTCAGCTAAAAACTTAGTCTTATAGACCGATTATTATAGCATCTCCTACAATATTCACTCCTAACTGTAATGTTCTTTGTTGTTTCTTTTTCCAGTTATTCAGTCAAAAACAGTTGGAAATCGAGACATCATTTTCCTTATTGACGGTTCAATGGGAACAGCATACATTAACTCTGTGCGGGTTTTCATCAGAGAGTTTGTGGAAAGCATGCCAATTGGTCCAGATCAAGTTCAAGTGGGTATTGCACAGTTTTCTGCTGCCCCGAGAGTTGAGATGGATCTCAACACCCATGGGAGCAAGGAGTCAATCATTTCTGCTTTGAGTACTATCAGACCAAGACCATCACAGGCAGTCAACATCGGAGCAGCCTTGAACTATGTCCGGGAAAGAATGTTGCAGCCAGAGAAGGGCAGCCGTATTCAACAGGGTGTACCCCAGCTTGTAATGTTGTTAACCAGCAAAAGATCCAGTGATAGCGTGGAAGAACCTGCGAGTGCCCTGAGGGAACTAGGTGTGTTGACCCTGGCTGCAGGCGCAAGGGCAGCTGATGAGCAGCAGCTGAAGCAGATTGCCATTAGTGACGATGCTGTGTTCTACGACAAGGATATGCGACCACTGATTAAAACCAAGAAAGAGAAAATGATAAGTGCTCTTTCTACTTTAGCTGGAGGAGTACCCACCACAACAGGTAATGCTACATCTATATAGGTTGTTGAGCCCCTAAGTGCTTGAAATGAAGGCAACAGGACACCCTTTGGTTTGTGAAGAAATTTTGATCTCACCCAAGGGTCTTTTTCAGGTCAAAAAACTGTGGAGAGCCCAAGGTATTTAACCCATGGTGGGGTTATCCCCTTGGAATCGTTACTGATAGTTGTTAACCTAACCTCTCTACAATCATGTGAGCCACCGTGTGGATCAAAGAGTTGGTTCTTAATGTCACAGGGGAAAGTCCAGTCCAGTTTAACAAATCAAAAACAAGTCTGGTTGCTTTCATTTCAAGTGGTCAGTAATGATTTGTCTTTCAGTGAAATTCAGGACAATTAGAAAGGGAAACCTAGGACTAAAATGAACTTTTGATAAATGTGATAGATAAGGAAAACTTTGAATAAATATGTGGAAAAACAACTAAAGCAAAAGTTTCCATTCAAAATTGAAAACTAGGACAATTCTGTGATTTGTGTGGAGTATAAACACAAGAGCCAGTTTCATGCCAGCTGAAAAATATAAATTGATCCTGAGTAAGTAGTTGTGTTAGTTACATTTTTAGTGTTTAGTTGGCATTTTTTTTCTACTTTGGTACTACGTCTTTGTGGTTTGAAGTATTCTTCACAGATTCACACATTTGTAAATAATTGTTAAAAAATACAAATTGAAGTAAAAAATATTGGGCACTTTACTTGTTAAATTCTTCATTTACACACAGATAAATGTTGCAAAAGTTAATGTGTCACTATTACTGAAAGTACATGTTCATGGCATTACACAGAGAGTAATTAATACATTTTTTGTGCTTTTCTTCAGTGACGGAGGAAACCATAGTGGAGACCACAAAAATGGTCAGAGACATTGTCTTTCTTGTGGATGGCTCAAACTATGTTGGCAGCAGTAATTTCCCCTATGTGAGAGACTTTATGATCAATACGATCAACCAACTTGATGTAGGTCCTGACAGGGTCCAGGTTGGTCTCCTGCAGTTTGCTGACCGTCCAAAAATAGAATTTTACCTGAGCAACTACAGGACCAGGCAAGAGGTTGTAGAAAAAATCTCTCAACTCAGGCTGACCGGAGGCTCAGCTGTGAATACAGGAGCTGCCATGAATTATGCCCTGGACAACATGTTTCACTCATCAAGGGGGTCACGCAGAAGGCAAGGAGTCCAGCAGGTGTTGGTTCTGATCACAGGTGGTCCACCCCAAGATCAGGTTAAATCTGTGGCTGATAAGTTGGCTCTGGCTGGTGTTTTGACTTTCACCGTCAGTTCTGGACAAGCAGACGAGGCCCTACTCCAGAGTGTTGCCTTTGTTCCAACTTTGGCTTTCCATGCAAGAAGCTTCTCTGGTTTACCAGGCCTTGCTGAACAAATCATGCCAGAGTTGGTAACAGTGGTTGGCGATACCGACGTGACAATATTCCAAGAGGAAACTGGTTAGTTTGGAATTTCTGTTTTCTTTGTCTAATAAAAAATATGATCAACTGTATATCTGGCAAAACATAAATAAATGTGTATTGTATTTTTTTCCTTCAGTTGTTGGAGCTGAAAGAGATGTTGCTTTCCTCATTGATGGCACAGATAGAGTTCGAGCAGATTTTGCCTACATAAAGGATTTTATCATTAAAGTAATTGAACCACTTGACATTGGAGATGACAAGGTACGAGTTTCAGTGGTTCAACACAGTGAAAGGCCAACTCCAAGTTTTTACCTTAACACTTATAAAACCAAAGATGAAGTGATAAGAGCTGTCCAAGGACTCAGAGTGACCGGTGGAAGTAGTTTAAACACAGGATCTGCTCTGAGATTCATGAAAGACACCATCCTGTCTGGCAGTAATGGTGGTCGTGCTGCACAAAATGTCCCTCAGTTTCTGATTGTTTTGACTGGAGACCGATCTACGGATAATGTAAGGGAACCCGCTGGAGCACTGAAGACAGATGGAGTTGTACCGTTTGGTGTTGGTGTCAAGGACGCAGACCCAAAGCAGATTGAGGCCATCTCGCACAACCCTTCTTTTGCCTTCAACGTTAAGGAATTCAGTGAGCTCAGCACCATACCGCAAAGACTGAATAATTATGTGAGCCTACCAAGGGAAGAGTTAGAGGTCGTCCTACAGCAAGGTAAGATTATTTTTTTTCTGGTGTCCGGAACTCACAAAATCTGCAATTTTTAGTGCTTTATATCTCATCTAACTTATGTTAACCCCATTTTAATCTTAATTAGATTCTTATTGTTGTCTTAACACAACGTGATGCTGTAAAAAGAAATATTGTGTTTCTATTTGATGGCACTGATAACACTGGAAATGGATTGACAGATATTAAACACTTTGTTAAAAACATAGCAGAGAGCCTTTATATCAGTGAGAACCAAGACAGAGTGTCTGTGGTTCAGTGTGCAGACAACACTCAGGTCAGCTTTTATCTAAATCCTCACAAGACAAAGAATTACAATTTAAATGCCATAGACATTTTAAGGCACAAATGAGGGACATGCCATAATATTGGTGCAGCTCTTCAGTTTGTGATGCATAGTGTCTTTACTTCCTCCATGGGTAGCAGAAGACTAAAAAGGAATCATCCAGATTTTAATTAAGTGGCAAACTGTCCACTGATAATGTGAGAAGCCCAGCTTTTTCTCTTAAAGAACATTACATTTTACATAACATTTTGGAGTGAGAGATGCCAAAATATCAGAGTTGGAAATGATTGCACTCAAACCTAGTTTCACATATAAGGTTTCTGAATTACCCTCAGTCCAGTCACAACTTATTATTCCACTGAACAGACACAAAGACACTCAAGATAACACACTGCTGTCATGTCAGTGTATAAGTTAATATTATTTAATCAGGACAAGTTTTGCTCCTTAGCACCGTTGCATTTTCTTGTAAAACTAACATATCCCTAAACTCAAATTATTGATAAAATTTTATTTGGTGATTTTGGTAATTATTCACCCCATTATTTAAGCCATTTCTATTGTGTAAAATTCACGATTGTTCTCACTAAAAAGCCTATTCTAACTGAAAAAGGAATTAATTTTGGTGTGTTTTTTGGTTTTATCTTTTCTTTCCAACTGTCCATTTCACTTACTACTTTGAAGTCACTTGGAAGATCAGTCATTCAATTCTCTTATGCATCTTTTTTGGTAAAAATATGTTTTTTTTTCACTTTTCAGAGCAATAGCTCACGTCTTTACAGCTCAGTTTTTTCACTGAGCTTGACTTGCTCATGCTAATAAATATGCATGACTGTTAGAACGTCTCAAATGCGTAATTCGCAAATCTTCTATCCATCCTTGTATCATCTAGTTGACACACGGAGGGACATAGTGTTTCTCCTTGATGGGTCAGATGACTCCAGAAATGGTCTCCCAGCTATTCGAGAATTCGTCAGAAGAATGGTTGAAGAGTTGGATGTTGGCGAAGATAAGGTTCGAGTGGGCGTTATACTGTATAGTGATGATGCCTCAATTTACTTCAACCTAATAACTCACAGATCCAAAAAAGCTATTATCTATGCTGTAAGAAGTCTTCGACATAAAGGAGGGACATCTCGCAATACTGGAGCTGCTTTACAGTTTGTGCAAGACCATGTTTTCACAACTTCATCTGGGAGTAGACACCTGGAGGGAGTTCCTCAGATTCTTTTTTTGCTGACTGGGGGAAAATCCAAAGATGATGTCTCCAGAGCTTCATTTGGACTAAAGCAAATCGGTGTTATGTCTTTTGCAATTGGAATGAAAAACGCTGGACAAGAGGAACTTCAAAAAATTGCCTTCTCCTCCAGATATGTTTTCAACTTGCCTTTCTTTGCTGAAATTTTGTCCATTCAGCCAGATTTAGTAGCATTTGTCCAGACAGAAATACCAGCTAAGCCTGCTACTGTTGTAGGTAAGAAACAAATGTAATATATAATTTAGATTTAAACTGACTCGCTGTTTCTGTTCTTGCACATTTGGTCTTTCTTAATTTCAAATGTGATGAAACTGAATTATTTTCTGAAGAATGTCATTGATTCAGTTTCACATTTGTTAAATTCTCTTCACTGGCCAGACACATCTTACGTGTTACTTGCTTCTTGGTTGGCTGCCATCCTTTTTTTTCTTGTACTCCAGAGAGCTTTTTTTTCTTTTCTTAAGCTCTCCCTTGAGCCAGTGATAATCACATCATTGACTGAAAATATGTTCTTTTGAACAAAATAACTTGTTTGGCTTTAATCTATCTTTCATGCGTGAAAGATGAATATGCTACTTAGCTTGTAATTTCTCAATATTTTTCTTTGTTAGCCAGTTTTCCTACAAATTGTTGCATCTAACACATCGTTTAAAACAATAATTCTTTGAATTTCATTACCAGTTTTAGTATATTTGCCAACAACATAATGGCTGATTATTGCACTACAGTACATTTTGGCTTATGTTTATGTTTGACTGCTAAACGAGGTTTTCATATTCTTTCTCTGAATTAGAATCTCCTCAAAGAGACATAGTATTCCTTTTGGATGGATCGGATAATACACAAAGTGACTTCCCAGCAATAAGGAGTTTTGTGGAACAAATGGTAGAAACACTCACAGTTGATGAGAACAGAGATCGTATTTCTGTGGTTCAGTATAGCGGAGATCCACAGACACATTTCAATTTGAACACCTACATGGCAAAACAAGATGTTCTCGGTGCAATCCAACGTTTGAACCATAAAGGAGGCATATCCCTCAACACTGGGGTAGCTCTTGACTATGTAAGAAAAAATGCTTTTGCCGAGTCCTCAGGTAGTCGGCATCAACAAGGTGTCCCTCAGATATTGATTCTGCTGAGCGATGGAAGATCTCAAGATGATGTTGCAAGTGCTGCTGCTGCTCTAAAACAGGAAAAAATTGTTCCATTCTGTGTGGGTACCAGTAATGCAAACATACTTGAGCTCCAAATGATTGCACATGACCCTTCCTATGCCTTCTCCATAACTCAATTTGATGATATTGGGAGAATACATGATCAACTTGTGTCACTTCTAAAAAGGGTTCCTCGGCAGCAGCCAAGACAAAAATCACAAAGTCCTTTAGGTAAGGCTTTTTATTGATGTTTTCATGGTCTATCTGTCTTATAATGCTTAACTCTAACTTAGCATCATCATTTCTGTCAAGCTCCTGCAGGTCAAAATGAACCCATTCAACGTGATATTGTGTTTTTACTGGATTCCTCTGATAAAATGCAGAAAACCTTCAATGCTGTTCTTGGCTTTGTTGGAAGAATCATGGAGACACTCAGTGTGGACAAAGACAAAGATCGTGTTTCAGTAGTGCAGTACAGCAGAGAACCTTCTGTTGATTTTCTCCTAAATACATACAACACAAAGCAAGATGTTGCTGACAGTTTGCGAAGGTTGAGGCATAAAGGAGGTGAACCCCTCAATACTGGTGCAGCCCTGCAGTATGTCAAGGATAATGTTTTAACAGCTTCCTCTGGAAGTAGGCACCAGCAAGGTGTCCCCCAGATTCTGATTCTTTTAATTGGTGGACGTTCCAGTGATGATGTCAGAAATGCTGCTGAAAACTTGAATGAAATGGGTGTAACAACTTTTGTGGTTGGAATAGATCATGCAGACACCCTTGAGATTCAGTCTATTGCACAAAAATCAGACCGTGCTTTCCATGCAGCAGATATCAATAATCTATCAGATATTGAACAACTAATCATTTCTACCATGAAGGAGATTAAAAACCCTGCCATCAAACCACCATCGCACGGTAAGGTTGTAATGGTTAGCTCTTACACTGGGCGCGTGACTTAATGGATTGTCAGATTGTTGCAGACATGAAATCCCTTATTTTCGGTGAACGATACATGATGAACTCCTTCACACTCAAATCTTTTGCTTGACAGAATCTTTTGCTTGATTAGTTGTAATTGAAGCACAAGCTGTGTATGCAGGATAAATGCATATTTACAAGAACAATTTTATTTTTCAATGTCATCAACCAGTTTGTTCAAATTCCTCTTTGATTACAGATGCCAACGGAAGAGACGTTGTTTTTTTGCTTGATGGTTCTGATGATTCTCAGCAAAAATTCCCAGATATTATTGACTTTGTAAAGAGGATAACAAAGCATCTAAATGTTGATATAAACAAAGATCGCATGGCTGTGGTCCAGTACAGTGACACTGCAGAGATTAATTTTAACTTGAGTCGTTATTCAACAAAGAATGATATTCTTAAAGCAGTAAATGGTCTGAGACACAAAGGGGGTTATCCTCACAACATTGGAGCTGCTCTCCAGTACTTGAAGGAACATGTATATACCCCTATGTCTGGTAGTAGACGTCAGGAGGGAATTCCACAGATACTCATACTACTGATTGGTGGACGATCTGCAGATGACATAAGAACCCCAGCCAGAATGATGAAGCAAATTGGTGCCATTTCAGTTGTAATTGGGACATCTGATGCTGACACTCTAGAGCTACAGACAATAGCTCATGAACCCAAGTACGCGCTTCCAGTTGCTGAATATGGACAACTTCCTAGTGTTCAGGAAGATGTGTTGGCATTGATAAGAGAGGCTTTGCAACATGTAGAACAAATTGCTCCCACAGCAGGTCTCGGTAAGAATCAATGTTTTCATTATCTAGTAAAGAGGAGAGATTGGAGGATTTTCAGAAACCGTCATTGTCACATTCTGTTTACACTTTTTTTTTTTCAGATTCTAAGAAAACTGATGTAGTGTTTCTCATTGATGGATCATATGACTCACTGAATGGTTTTGAAGAAATACGAAGCTTTATTGAAAAAACTGTGGAAAGTTTAAATTTGGGCAATGATAGAGACCAAGTGGCTGTTGTTCAGTATAGTCGTGATGCCACTGTTAATTTTTACTTGAATTCTTATTCTTCCAAGAATGATGTGCTCAATTCCATAAGAACAATGAGACATAAATTTGGAAGACCACTGAACATTGGAAAAGCACTGGAGTTTGTCAGAGACAACGTCTTTTCTGCTTCAGTTGGAGGCAGACGTGCAGAATTGGTCCCTCAGTATCTGTATGTTTTTAGTGGTGGAAGATCTGGAGATGATGTCAGAGGACCAGCACAATCACTCAAAGACAATGGCATCAAAACCTTTAGTATTGGAACGGAGAATGCTGATACTTTGGAAATGCAGACTATCTCCTATACACCAGCACATTATTTTTATGTCTCAAACTATAATAATCTACAAAGCTTAGATCCATCAGTGGAAGCCATGTTGAGGGGCACTAAAGAAACAACTGAATTTTCAACTATTGGTAAGAGGAACAACAATTTATAATAGCTTCCTTCTGGACATGATTGCATATCATCATTATCTTTTAGGTTATATGTAAGAGGTAAAATTTGTAAAATATTTCATAACCCATTTCAGATACATCTGTGACAGCAGAAGCAGGATTCCAGAATGCTGATATTGTTTTTCTTCTTGATGGATCTGATGATATGCAACCAAGTGAACAACAAACTTTGGAATTTGTCAGAGAGTTTGTCAAGCAAATAGAAATTGGGCCAAGAAAAGCACAAGTTGCTTTAATCCAGTACAGCACAGAGCCCACAACTGAGTTTCTTCTAAACAAATACTTAATGAAAGATGATATCATTAATCATTTGGACAACATGAAACTGAAAGGAGGGTCCACTGTGAACATTGGTGTAGCCCTTGATTATGTGAAAAATAATGTCTTCACTGCTTCATCTGGTAGCAGAGCACTGCATGCAGTCCCACAGATACTGATACTCTTCAGTGGAAGAAATTCAAATGATGAAATCTTAGGTCCATTAGAAAGGCTCCGAAATGTGGGAATTGTTCTTTTTGGCATTGGTGTGAATAATGCTGATAGGTTTGAGATGGAACAATTAGCTCCTACAGCAATGTATTTTATAAAGAATACTTCTGACTTTCCTCATGTGAGAGAGCAGTTGCTGTCTGTCATATCCTCTCTCAAAAGTACTATCAAACCTCATGTGGGTAAGTGAAAATAACATTTGATGATATGAAGTTTGATTAAACAAATATCTCATTTAATATTATTTAAATACAAACCTTGTAAACCTCATGTTGAAGTGTCTTCAACAGTAATTTGATGACTGTTGAATTGGTTAGAAACAACATTTACATGATTATGAATTTTTTTAGGTTCAAGCTCCAGCATAAAACGAGATATTGTATTTCTCATTGATGGATCTGATGATGTCAGGAAGAGTTTCAGTGCCATACGTGAATTTGTTGGCAAAATGGTTGCGAGCTTTGACCTGGACCAAAGAAAAGATAAAGTTGCAGTTGTGCAGTATAGCAACAATGCTGAACTTAACTTTAATCTGGATACTTACAAAACAAAAGCTGATGTCCTAAAGCACATTACAAGTCTTAAACCCAAAGGTGGAAGGCCACAGTATATTGGGGCAGGACTGCAATTTGTGAAGGATAATGTCTTTGTTCCAAATGCTGGAAGTCGACAACATGAAGGAGTCAAACAAATACTTATTGTATTGGCTGGTGGAAGATCAAGAGATTCTCCAAGAGGACCAGCAAGTATGCTTAAAACAGCAGGTGTCACTACATTTGCAATTGGATCAAGAATGTCCAATTCAGCTGAGATGGAAATGATTTCATCAAACCCAAATTTCAAATACTCAGTCCCAGACTTTGTAAATCTGCCTCGAATACAGGAAAATTTGAAGAGTCACTTTACTAAAATGGCAGTTGAAGGGGAAAGAATGGGAGGTAAGAATTTAAATGATTTCTCAAATTTAATACGTTAATTTTAATATGTACATCTTATTCAAGTGAATTAGCGGTGAGTAAAAATCAGCAACTGTATTTCTAATTAAAGAAGAAAAAAAAGAAAATGAGTGTGAGTTCAAAAAATGGCTTTATGTTGAAGAACATTTGAAAGACCAAGTTAAACATATGGTAAATCTCATGTCTCTTAGTGGTCAGACAGCCAGCAGGAAGGGATGTGGTGTTTTTGCTGGATGGATCTGATGCTACTA